ATTTCAGACAAATTGAATCTAGTCAGCCTATCTAGAGGTCTTTGTTTTAGGAGGGTCAGCTGTTCCTCATCTAGTGGTAATCAGTAGACCCTATTTTTTTTTCAACTCATCAATTCATACATATGGAGCTAATTCTAAAATAGAAAAGTTTTTGTGATAAAAACAGTAATGATAATAAAAATGTTTATTTAATCAACATTTCACATCAGATTACCTCAAAAGTCATTTAGGTGTGTTATTTATATTCAATTTGTCTGAAATTTCACAAGATAGTTTTAAAAAGTTAAAGCACAATGCCTATAGTTTGGTAACCATAAGGCTTGGAACTAGATTTTTGGTTAACTACAAAATCAATGCAAATGAAACAAAAATACTACTCTTCTTTAAAAGTAACAATGCCTTGGGGGCTGAAGAGTTGGCTCAGTAATTAAGAGCACTGGCTTCTCTTGCAGAAGACCCAGGTTCAATTCCCAGCACCCACATGGTGGCTAACAACCATGTGCAACTGCAGTTTAAGGGGAATCCGATGCCCTCTTCTGACCTCCACAAACACTGTACGACATAGGTGCATTTTCAGACATGCAGGCAGTACACTTATACACATTAAAAAAATAAAAATAATAAATTATATATATATCAATGTCTTTAATTTTTAGGAACAATTTTAAATTATTTTAATTATTTTCCACTCTGAATAGAAAAATAATGTATTAATTACATGATATCCCGCATCAAAGTCCAAAGAATCTTCACCAGTCAAGCTAACAATACCATTTATAGGATCTATTCCAAAAGAATTTGCTCCTTTCTTTGGTCCAGATAACTGTGTCTCAATGGTGTACTAGAAAAATAAAGTAGACATTACTCCAAAATAAATCAGAAAGCAGAGAAAAGTCATGAAGATAACCTCAGAGGGCAAACATAGAAATTTCCCCATGTTCCAGCATATATTAGAACCACTCGTATAATGTTATTTATAATAGAAGAAAAACAGTTCAGATGACTAACATATTAAAACAATCAAATGTGTGCTACCTTTTCATAGAATTGCACACTACATTTTTCTAAAAGAATTTTAAAATGCCTAATTCTGATTCTACATGTGAATTTACATATGAAACAATATACAGAATAAGCTCATCAGTTTTTAATGTTTCAAGAAACAAAGAATACATTCTAAATTTTCAGATATTAATACAGCTGACTATACAGTTTTTAACAATTTACCTAATATTTTCACTTTAATTTGCCAACACCTCTTGAAGAAAGGTGAAATTAGATAAATCTCTTCCCAAAAGTATCTGACAAAAATGTAGTTTGAAATGAGGTAATAATCCATTAAAGAAAGGTCCAGTTACTATTGTGGGTTTGTTTTTAAATTGATATGAATGCTATTTTGTAGCAATATATCTATTTCTCAAAACATTAAAATTTGAATCTGTCACCCATGATCCCTCTCACATTCCTGCAAATGACAGGCTGGTAATAACTACTTTCAGTTGGACCATAGATTATTTTTTTAATTTACTGAAAAGACATTATCTAATAGGAAAGATCTAAAGTTTCTTAACAATTTTATACTGAGTAGTCTACAAGACATATTTTTGACTATTTCACAAAGATTTTTAGTACTTCAACTGATGATAGCATACATAGCATTGAAGGTTAAGGAAAGAAAAAGAAATCTGTTCTAATTGTAAAAATCAAGGCAAGCCAGATGAAGTGGCTTTCCCAAGGTCACAACAGTAGTCTATGGTAAAGTCTCAGAAGCCCAGGTCAGCTGACAGCGCATCACCACTTGGTGCTCCAAAACTTCATACAAGAGTTGCTAAATTAATAGTAAACTATTTCAATATGCATTCCAAAGAACAGCTGTGAGCAAGCATGCTGACTGCCACTGCTCGGAGAGTCTCTATGCTCATCAGTTAGAACGGTATAGCTTCTTTTATCTTGCCAAATCTTTAAGAAACTTTGCAACCATGAATCAATTACAAGAAAAGCAAATTTCTTTGAGTTAGGACCTTAGTAATTAGGAAGGTGAAGAATCAGAGTCATATCTATATAATTTATTTATTTATAATCCTATATATATTTGTCATTAAAATAACTAGAAAATTGAAATAATTTTGATTAGTTTCCAGAAAGAAAGCCCCTGTTTTGCCTCAACAACCCTCCTCCAAAAGAAGTGCTGTATAAGTTTCTAGAATTCTCTAAAAAGTTATCTTCTGAGAGGTTTTTTTTCAGCGTTAACACAGATATTGCATTAGTGCATTAGAATAGTTAATTTATTTATCAAATTATATTACCTATTTTTGAAAACCTTCAGATGCATTGCTCTGTGAGCCTGTTACATACTGCAATATATGCATCCCACACAACACTGGCCACCTACCGTCAGTCTGTCACCATGTACAGTGTCTTCATCTGTGGCATTCACTTTATAAATGGATTGAAATAATGGATAGTCCTCAGTGATTTCCAATGTAGCTGCACAGCAGAAATCAAACATATTGTAACAAAAATAAAGTACTCACTATCTTAATATGAATTTCAAATTGTATTGTGGGGCTGGGATAACAATTTAAGAAAGCAATCTTTGTGTGTGTGTGTGTGTGTCTGTGTGTGTGTCTGTGTGTGTGTCTTTTTCCTTTTGGCTTCTGGTGAGCCTACCTTGCCTCCAGAGGACTTTTCCATACTTACCAGCACCATCTGCAACAACTGTAGCATAATACAAAAGAGCATGACTTATGGGCTGACGAGCTGTCCCATGTCCAGTGGGGTGCATCACAAGAAATTTCTGTATTCTAAATTTAAAACCTGATGGGATCTGTTTCTTACTGAAATACATAGATTACCTATCAACATCCAACTTTCAAAAACCTTCTAACATCTCTCCACAACCTTGGACATGGGCTTAAAATATATATGAACCTAACCCACAGTAATGACATGGATAAGCAACCTCAGGAAAGACAGATTAAACTAACTGTTCTCTTGATTTCTCTCTCTCTCTCTCTCTCTCTCTCTCTCTCTCTCTCTCTCTCTCTGTGTTTCATTAGCACCTTTGAAACATGAACTCAAGTTCAGTAAAAAGACATTTAACATTTTTCTATTTCTTACCTAAGTAGAAAACCATATTTATATTATAATAAAATTAATTTGTACCAAGTTGCTCAGCTAAAGTTTAGTTTTTCTATATTTGTATTATCTAAGTGATTTGAGGATACCTGCAGGTAGTTGTGGCATCTAGAACCATGTCTCCCAATATTTTCTCCAGAAAAAAAGAAATAGCATTAAACAAAAGCATCCTTTTGTTTAATGCTAAAGACAGATCACAACCGAATTTCATAGCAACTTAGACAAGTTGATTCTTAAGAAAGCTTAACACAACTTAGCAAATGATAGCTTGCTTCCATTCCAGTATGAAGCCTTACATCAAGCAAAGAGTATCTCAGAAAAACTGAGGAAAGAGGAAGAGATAAGAGGAAAAAAGTAATTTGAACCTCAGGCCTAATAAAGCGGTGAAATTGTTACCAGAAAGATTAAATCCACTCAAAGTGAAAAAAAAAAAGCTTAAAATTCTACTGCGTTAAAGTATCATATATGCAATGTAGAGTACAATGGGAAAGTACATACATAAGTAAAAGCACATGCAAAACTTCTTTTCTGTCTTAAAGTCAAATAAATAGTAAAAGAAAATTTACTTCAGATAATAGATTTTGAACAGACGAATGACGCCAAGAATGCTAGGCAGATACGGGAATTCAAAACTATTTGATTCAAATGATCAGAACACTTAAAATATTTTTGAATTTACCAACAGTTGGACAACTATAAGATTTTTTTGAGACTTTGTAAACCTTCACTATTATCTACAAAGAGAATTACTGAAGGTTTAATTGTATTGGACCCTCAATGGTCTAAAGGAATTCTTCATTCCTGTACTTTCCATCTTTCTTAAGGTTATTTCAAACTTTGCCTTTTCCCTCCCAAACCTTTAATCCCTTCCCTTCCCATCTATTTCATTGTGCACAGAGGAGCCCTCAAAGTATCTCAGAGTAAACAGAAACAATTGGGCTAGTGAAAGGTGAACTTCCCCTGGGTGTTCTGCACACTCAGTTATATCTATGCAGTCTTTCCTCCTACAGTAAATGGAGGGAACCTCACAAGGGCAAACCTTTTCACTGTGTGGGCCTCCCTTGAACTCTGATTTGGCTCTGATTTTCATTTTCATTTTATCAGTCGCTCTCTCCCTTCTGCTACTACCCACTAGCATGTAAACACACAGTTCCGTTTCCCCAGCATAACTTACCAGTGGTCCTGACGCTCTCCTACCCTTCAGTGTCAGCGTCCCCAGCATAACTTACCAGTGGTCCTGACGCTCTCCTATCCTTCAGTGTCAGCGTCCCCAGCATAACTTACCAGTGGTCCTGACGCTCTCCTACCCTTCAGTGTCAGCGTCCCCAGCATAACTTACCAGTGGTCCTGACGCTCTCCTACCCTTCAGTGTCAGCGTCCCCAGCATAACTTACCAGTGGTCCTGACGCTCTCCTACCCTTCAGTGTCAGAGTCCCCAGCATAACTTACCAGTGGTCCTGACGCTCTCCTACCCTTCAGTGTCAGCGTTTCTATATTTCTTCATCTCCTTCTTACTCTTAAATCCTTTCTACAACAGAAACTGCTTCCCAAAACTTATTTACAAACTCCATGCTTGCCTTTCAAATGGAACAAACTTGGTGGCCATCTTATTAACTTGCCTTCAACAATTGCACAATTGATTTTTCTTTTTTCCCTTGCAGAAAAAGAGCATCACATATATGCGGGGATTACTCTTGAACTTTCAGGATATATGGAAAGATTTTCCTTGGAAAATCAAAGTTGGCAAGTTTCCTGAAGAGCTCTTAAGTTCTCTGATTAGGCAAAGTTCTGTTACAGCTTTTCAAACTTATCGGACAATTTCTTCATAATCTATGGTCTCCAACAACTATCTCCCTTATTCTGTCATTCTTGAGTGCACATACATAATTCGGTTGTATGTTGAAGGTGAATACAAAGTGAGAGGTGGGAGTTATGAAATTCAAGGGCCCTCAGGAGTCATAGGAGCTTGAGGTCCAGAAAAAGTCCAAGAGCCCAGACTACCCAGGGGAGCTCAGGAGAGCTCAGGAGAGCTCAGGAGAGATAATCAGGTAGCTCACATCTTGACCAAAATAGAAGGAAAAACAAAGCAGGAAAGGAATTCAGCTATTTATTCAAATCTATAAACAATACCATAGAAAGTGAGTATGTGTGTGCATATTCTCTTTCAACAATAACTACACGTGATTATCAGGGAACACATATATAATAGTAAAAGTTAGTAAAAACCTGCTTTTGTAGCAACATCATGGAGTGTGTATTACAATTCCAAATGCAATCCATTCTGTGAAGGAAGTCATTGTGATATTTGAGCATAGTATAATAAAGGTAATTGCATATACAAAAATCTTACTTTATTTTAATGATCAACTTAAAAGGTACTTAATAAATATGGCTCATTTAATGAAAGGAATACTTCATTTTGTTTTGAACATTTCAAAGTTTAAAATGGCACATTTAAATTTTTTTATGTTACCAAAGTTGTAGTTCATATTAATGATCTTCAAAATCAAGGAATAATAAATTTTATTTTCAGGGTTCTATATTTTAATTGTAATAATGAATATTTCTTTCAAGCAGGTACTCAAACTAAGAAATTCAGGTCACTAATACTTTTTCAGAAATTAAGGTACAATTATAATCTAAAAGAAGAAAATACAAAATTTCAGTATTTTTTAACATTTTAAACACACAAAATAATTTAAAATTATAAATATGGATATATAAATGTTTAGAAGAGCTGTGTAGAGCCGTAGATAGATCATTAGTCCCGTCTGTGTGATGATTCCATCTCTTTCCTACATTCTTTCATGTTTGTTCAACCTCCCAGTCAAATGAATCATCTCCATTTGTTTATAAAATTATCCCAATGTCTCCTTTTAAAGAGAAATAAGCCAGATAGGAGTCTTGCAATCTGGTAAAATTAGGCCACTGCCATCTCTCCAATTTCACATCAAGATTTCTAAAGAAATGCATTCCTCTTTTCATAACCTCACTAATCAAGCCACAACATTCTGGCTTCTACCCCTTGACTCCATAAAACAGTTCCTAGACTCATTATTTATAAGCTTCCCTATGTCAGTAACAGAATGCACTGGAGGTTGTAATTCCCCATTTGTGTTAACTGTGGAACACAATTCTACTAATCAAGCATCTGGCACTCACCTGGAATATTTTCTTCCTTCGCTGTTCGTGGCATAGCCCTGTACTTTCTCTACCACCACAGTGAATGGTCTATCTTGGACTCCTTGGCAGGCTAACTTTCTTCCACACATCATTAAGTATAGAAGTTCTTCAAGGTTTGGCCTTGTGCCCTCCTTTACTCTAGTTCTTTAGTGCGATTAAGTAATTTCATCCAAATCCGTGTTTTCAACTACAAAACATTCACAGCCCTAGGCAAGAACTCTGAGTTCAACTGCTAACTTAAATTCTTCCTTTGATATGTATAATTAATGCATTTCAAATATGGCATGTTGCGTTTGAGATGTCATTCACTGGTAGTTTTCCTATCATGCATAGGGCCCTGGGTTTTATTCCTAGGCCCCAAACAAACAAGGGAAAATCATCTTCAATGTAAACTCACACTTCTCAAATTTGGTTTCTTCCTTGGTTTTCCTACTATGCTTAAGGATCTTTATAACAATTGCACAAATTAAACTTCAGAAAGTTTTCTTGTTTGCCTTTATATTAGGTTCATCATCAGATTCTTTTACTAGTTAAGCATAGAAAGACAATCTACCTATCTCTAACACCTTCCTAGGCCAAATTCAATATTCCTTCCCTTGCTTACTTAAAGAAATTGTTAGCTGGTCTCCCCCTTTTTATTCTACAGATCTTCAAACTAATGCCCATAAATCAAATTTAGAATGTCGCCTGTGTTTTACGCTATAGAATTGTTTTGTTTTTTTTTTTACTTTTAAGCAAAGTTATTTAGAAAATAAGACAAATACTTTGTGATATAATAAATATATATGAAATTAAAGTTTTGGTGTTCATAAATAACACAAATACACACACTTGCTGTTGATTACATGATAGTGCATTCCTGCTACAATGGCAGAGCTGAGAGATAGAAATAGAGATTGTAGTAATTTGAACTCATCAGTTCAAAATATAAATCCCAGTCATTCAGTCCTCAGAACATATCATTCTTGATCACCATGCCTCCTACCCATGATGGGAAGATAAGAAAAGTAGAATGAATGACACACTTTTAAGACATGTGGAGTGTGAATTATCTCATTGTTGAGTTTTTTGTAAAGAATTACAGTCACTAAACAAATAACTCCATAACTTATATAAAAGAACATAATATCTGTCATATAAAATAAGATGACACACTCTTCACAATATAAGAGAAAAATAATGATCAGAAGAAGCAGAAAACTTTGGATGAAATATTTCATGACAGATTTTATTCCTAAAAATAAATAAAAATGAGACCATTGCTAATAGGATTCTGAATGGTTCTCTCAGTAGCCAAGCTTGAAAAACCATTCTTTGATACTATTATGTAACACACTACTAAGTAAATGACATCATCTTTCTCAACAAAAAGGAAAATCTACTCTTATTAGTAGTAGACTATTTGTATAAAATAATATTGTAGTAGCTATTATTATTATTAAAGTTTTGTTATTTAAAAATTATCATGAGCTACAAATATTTGCTTCCTCACATATAATCACTACATAAAGATCCTCAAATCTTCATTTTGGTGGCAGAGTTTAAAAAGTTATCTGGACCTGGGAGGGCAAGTGGAATTAGTGATATTAAGGGGGGATGATAATGGGATAGAAAGAGTTAAATGGACTGGGCAGTGGGAGGAAAGGGAAGAGGAAGGAGTAAGGGAAGTGATAAATAGGAGTAAATGCCTTCTGGAAAGGTCTTATAGAAACCTGTTACTGGAGAAGTTTTATACACATATATCTCTCTATATATAGATATAGCTACATAGATATATGTATATATTACAAAGCTGTTTGAATATCATTACTCTATAGAGGGAGTTCAATTGGCCTACCAAACACCACAGGCTAATAAGTAAAAAGTCCAATGCCAGGAATATGTTTCCTCTTTTGAAGTCATTGATTAGAGAGGTCCTACAGACCCTCAAAGAATACTGACTATTACTATCGCTTTTGGTTATCCAGAACTTGAAACTAAGATTCTGTCACTGAAGGGACTGCAGTCAAGCTTGTTCTAGCCTTGAAGCTTTATCTGCTGGCTGGCTTTCATAATACTCAAAAGAGCTATGCTTGCTATTTGAAGAGGAAGATAATAAAACTTACCTAGTTGTGACCACTTCATGCTACAATAAGGACTGGTCTGGCAAGAGATGCCCAATATTGCAATAGTGGCCTGGATGTTATGGGAGAATCCAACCACCTTCAGATTGGATTTAAGGCACACTTCAGAAAATGGAGCCAATACCTGCACTGCTATCAGGGCTAAGAACTTGTGGCTACACAGGTCACTGATAGTAGGGGAGAACTTACTACTATGGTCCTGATAAATAAACATAGTGTTTAATTGACTCCTAATAACTTATTATTATACCATAGATTAGTGCATCTCTGAACTCACAAGGTAAAAGCTTCTTCATGTAATGGGTGCTGATTTACACAGAGTCTCATGTCCCGCTGGTCAATATACAGACAAAGAGAAACTACAGAGTGCTCAGCCTTAAATGGGACATCTATATCATACCATCTCCTCCCAAGGCTCAGGGATCATTGCAGAAGGGGGGCAGAAAGATTTAGAGGTAGTATGATAATATAAGAAAAGTATGTTGTCTGGACACCACAGATTAATTGCACATATGAACTCACAGCACTCATGACAGCATGAATAAGACCTGTGTAAATCCAAGCTAGACAGGATCCCAAAATGGATAGGGGAGGTGGGCAGGAATTCCAAACTGTAGGTGAGAAGCTTTTGGCAATTGATAAATGCTGGGAGAGGAAGAGTCAGTTTTCTTTAGGAGTGTGAGGCCTGATCAAACTCCAAGGGATGGACTCAAACAAGAGAATTTGGGAAGAACTGGTTTGACTTGGTAGGCCTTTAAAGAAGGAAAAAAGTTAATAGAAGACAAGAAATTGTGGAGGGACAATAGAAGGGGGTGGAGAGATGGAACGGGTTCTGAATCTGATCAAAGTACATTATGTGAAATTCTTTTTTAATATTTTATTATTTTTATTTTATGTGTATGAGTATATTGCCTACATGTATGTAAGTGCACTCATGTTATGCAATGCCCACAGATGTCAGAAGCGGATGTCAGATCCTCTGGAACTGGAGTTATTAAAGATTGTTAGCGACCCTGTGGGTGCTAGTAACCAAACCTGGCTTCTCTGTAAGAGTAGCCAGCGTTCCTAACTGCTGAGCCATCTTTCCAGCCCCCCATTGTATGAAATTCTGAATAACGCAATAAAAAATATATTTAAAAAAAGTAATGTGGACTTTCTAAATTCTTCCTATCCAGAGTCTACTTTTGAGCTACTTTTGTCCCTATCTAATTTATACCCATCAGATGAATATATTTAAAATACTTCTTTTTAAAAGTATCTTAAAGGGTCCCCATCACTCTTAGGTCATAGAAAGACATCCTTAAGACACTCTTTACTACCTTTACGTAGTCATTTTCTGAAATGATACCTCATATATCTCCTTTCAATCACACTAGATTCTTAATCACGATTAGTTTTCCCCATCTGTTGTGCCTTGGGAAATGTGTGCAGTTCTTTCTCTATGAAACACTGTTACCTTTCCTTTTGCTTATTTTCTCACATCAGGATTCAGATCTAATCTATCTTTTTTTTTTTGTTGAGGTCTTTTTTGAGACAGGGTCTCCCAGTAGCCCCAGCTGGCCTGGAACTCACTATGTAGAACAAGCTGGCCTTTAACTCAGAGAGATCTGACTGTCTCTGTCTCCCCAGTGCTGGGATTAAATGCGTTGGCCACCAAGCCTGGTTCAATCATTTTTTAAAAGGTTCCTATATGTCTCTAATTGGTCAACCTCTGAACAGGAACATGCATATTATTTGCTTGCATAATATCAATGCCTTTCTTATGTCACAATTGAAATGATGCATTTGTGATATGTGATTAATGACTATCTTTCCTTCTTTGAAAAAGTGAAATAATGTTTGAAACTTACCGATACTGCATTATATTATCTTTGGTTTTCCATAAGCAAAATTTTGATTATTCGCATAGGCTGTCAAATATAGTAATGTATTTTTCTCTCCTGCCTTCTTGTCTTATTTTGTCTGTACTATGTCCTTAAGAATATTTGGTATTTAAAAAAATATTTTATTGATTCAAGAATTTCACACAGTCATACTCAGACCCCTTTTCCCCTCTCTACTTCCAACTTACTAGCTCCCATTCGTGTACTCTATTATTATTTGTCATATTTTAAGGCCTAGAGAGCCTAACTTGTGTTTCCTAAGTGCTCTTGGGTGTGGATCTTGGTATCTCTTAGAGTCTGGTCAACTATCAGGCATCACACCAGGAAGTGAAACAGACTCTCCTTCTACCAGCATCTACTCATTGCCACTGTATTTTCAGATAGGGCTGAGGATTCCTGCCCACACCCTGCATTCACGCTGGGACCCTATCTGGCTTGGATTTGCACAGGTTTAGTGCATGCTATCATAAGTGCTGTAGATTCATATGTGCAACTACCCTGTGGTGTTCAAACAACACAATTTCTTTGTATTCATCTACCACCCTGACTCTTAAAATCTTTCAACAACCACCTCTGCAATGATTCCTGAGCCTTGGAAGATAGGATGTGAAGTAGGTATCCCATTTAGGCTTGAGCACTTGACAGTTTCTCATTTTCTACATGTTGACCAGTTGTGGGTATCTGTTTTAATTGTAGTCTGCTGCAAGGAGAACCTCCTTGGCTGAGAGCTGAGTGATGTTATTATCTACAGGTACAACAATAAGTCATTAGGAGTCAATTTAATGCTATGTCTATTTAGCAGAATGATAGTAATAAGTTCCTCCCTAGAGCCTAATACCAGTCTAGCCCCAGATTCTTGCCCCTGAACCGTATGTATCAGATATGACCTCCATCTTCTGAAATGGGACTTAAAACCAATCAGAAGGTAGCTGGTCACTTCTGTAACATTCTTGCCCCTATTGTACCAATGGGCATATTTTGTAAAGCCAGTTATTATTAAGTGTGCAGGGTTCACAGCTGGGAAAGGCTGATGATTCTCTTTCTCTGCTAGTAACATATGTAGCACCACCTAGTATTATGAAAGCTAGCCAGCAGCAAAAAACTTCAAGGTCAGTACCAGTTTTAATTCTCCTTGTTTTACTACTCATGAATGAAGGATCTTCAGCAATAGGGTCTTACCATCAAATTGTGGTGGGTAACCAAGTGCAATCACAGTAACCAGTATTGTTTGAGTTGTTTTTAATGTATTTACTTAATTTTTAAATTTTTATTCATTTATCTCTCTCTCTCTCTCTCTCTCTCTCTCTCTCTCTCTCTCTCTCTCTCTCCCTGTGTGTGTGTGTGTGTGTGTGTATGTGTTTTGACTGTATGTGCGTGATTGCTCCTGTGTTATGCAGTGTCCACAAAGGCCAGAAAATGGTGTCTGATACCTGTGGAACTAGAGCCATCTCTCCAACTCCAATGTATTTTCTTTCTAATCTCACAAATATATGTGAAAATTTCTATCTAGCAAAATTATGTTCTGTGTATTCCACTGAGAGTTTATATGTCTATATGTTTTCTTATACATATGAATATTTACATACTGTTTTATAAATTTATGTAAACATACATTCTTCATTTAATTAAAAAAGAATCACTGTTCATCTCTACCTGAAACAGTATCCCTCAGCTCTTTCATAGTAGATAACTTTTGACACCAAAAATAAGAAAAAGAAGAATCATACCTGTGCCTGAATAAAAGAGGGGGTCGGCAGTACAGTCTGGAGGTTCAGGAACATCAATTATATTAATGGTCAAAACCCGTCGTGTGATTCCTCCAGTATTAACTATAAATAGAAACCTGGTTGGATCAGTTTCATAATTAAAGATTTTAGTAGAAGTGATTACACCAGAACCTAATAAGGAGATAAAACAACAACAAAAAATTACTATCTACCAATCTAGCTAGCTAGCTGCCTAGGTATCATATCTATACAAACGTGTTTGTCGTATCTTGAAAGATGTTATAATGATATATTTTAGCTGTTTTATAAAGAAACTAAATTGGAAATGATGTGATCTACCCAAAGTCACTCAATTAACAAGCACCTTATGAATCTTTAATGGAGGATAGAAGAAATAGGTGTGAAAATAGACTACATTTCAGTTTTTTGATACTGTACAAAGAATATGATATGTGTAAATGAATATCAATGATTCAGACTTGTATTTGTAATACATTATATTTTCCCTCAAACACTTGCACTGAAAAGTTCTGAGATGCTGGAGAGATGGCTTGGCAATTAAATGTGTTACTCTCTCAGAGGACACAATTTTGATTCCCAGTCCCCAGGTCTGGTGGCTCACAACCACCTGTAACTCCAGTTCCAGAGGATCTGACAATCTCTTCTGGCCACTGTGTGCCTCTCCACACATGGACACAGACACACACATACATAAATAAAACATAAAAGTTTTATTTATGAGGTCCAGTAGCCTTCATTGACAGAGATTGCATTGTCTTTATATTCCTATTCATTTGTCATTAAGAGAGAAAATCATGTCCATGATGCTTCTTTATATCCAGCCTCACTAACTATAAGAAGCATACCCCAAAATCATAATATAGGGGACTTCTTTGTTTAGTTTCTGCTGTGTCTGTAGTGTGTGTGTGTGTGTGTGTGTGTGTGTTACATGTGCTTGTTTGAGTACATGCATGTGTGTTCTGCTCATGTGAAGCAGGAGACCAGAGATTGATTTTAACTTTCTTCTTCAACCACTTCAAATCTTATATTTTGAGTGAGTGTCTATCATTGAACCTGGAGTTCACTGAATGACACACTGGCTACCCAGCAAGCTCCAGACATCTGCTTTTCTACACAGCAGCCCCTAGCACCCGCTATTAAATCTGAATGTTTTACTAAATCAGTTACAAGCACCCGCTGCCATGTCTGGCTTTTGGATGCGTGCTGGGAATATGAACTCAAATCCTCAGACTTGAACAACTGGAACTTTGCCAACTAAGTCATGTCTATAGTCCCTATGATACAGGTTTTGCAGAATTTTGGACTGGAATTAAGATAAAAATTATCAAAACTTTTGCTGTTGAAGACAGTTTATTGACCTAATCAAGATATTCCCTATCGAATTGACCTCTGAGTTGAAAATTGTTCATTTTCAGAGTAGTAAAATGAGCAGTTCAACCAAGGCAACAAAAGAAAATAGAGATGAAAGGAAGAAAACCATAAACAACAATATAAACTGCATATTTTTAAAAAATTTTTAGAAGCATTTCATTACATCAGCATTGACATATTCAATAACAATTTTCTGAGCTAAGCTGCATCTCTTACAAAATTGGCTGTACCTTTTTTTTGGTTTACAGTTGAATTATTAGTTATACAAATATTGTACTCAGTATAAGCCTTATAAGACATAAAAGTAAATGAGGTTTTAACCATAAAAAAAGATCTCCATTTCATTATTAAAATACAGAGTTTCATGCAGAAAACCTCATTTTTAATGCAATTGACATTAAAATGTTTGCACATGCGCTTCTAATCTCTGTATATCAGACTTTCTGAGGCTTCTTCGCATCTGAGCATGGATATAAAGTCAGCAGGTAGATTTCAATGATAATGTTTTTCACATCTACTAATTATTAAGGAGCAAATTTTTATACTTTGAAGAATTATTTTTTTAATCATTACATCTTTTTTAAATTTTTAATAGCTACTATCAGGAGTATAAGTTTTATTAAATCTGAATGTTTTACCAAACCTGAATGTTTTAAAGAAATTATAATCATTTGGGGCAAATAAGTTATTTGAAAATGAACATAATACTAATTTTTAAAGAAAGCTACTAGATTAGGAAGAAATATTATCCTGTATTCTGGCAAATTCACTTTTATCCAAAGGCAGTGTATTTTTAAACACAAAAACATATGAATATTATTTAATAAGGACAAAAAGTGAGTCTTCCTGAAACAAGCTCCCTATAAATTTTTATAGGTTTTCCTTTTCAATTTTATGGAATGCTAAGAGCCAGACAAACTCAAGTCATAACAAGAGACAAAAATAACCAAAGTTGAATTTTGTTCAAACTGAAATAGAGCTTATCTATCATTCTTAAATAGGTCCAGAAACAATATCAAAGTGTGGTGATGAACCCAACCTTGATCTTATCGGTAGGATCAATCCCTGGAGAGCTATTTAACTATGGTATTTCCTAATGTGTCTCCTCTCATTGGACCAAATGCCCTACACCTGACAGAATGACCTTGTGGGTATTCTCTGACTCCCTAAATTTATTTTTCTATGTGCTTTGTTGTCAAGGCTATAATGCAGGGTTCTCAGTACCAGTGTAGATATGTCAAATCTGGATGCATCTTGGGGTTAAAGGTCCAACCATCTAAGGAAGAGGAGTCTAATATGGTCCTAACTGAAGCTTGTCTTTCCAGTGCCAGTGTAGTTCAGACTTTTGCAGATGAATTACCAGTGTAACAAACAAAAGGCTTTGTCTTTCGGTGTACTTCAAATGTAAAATGTTCCACGCAGTTTCACGAGTTAATGGTGAAGTCCGAACTTGATGCTACTTGGAGGAAGTAGAATCTTCAAGAGGTGGCGACAAGTGGGAAGTCTTCAGGTTATCAGGGAATGACCTGTAAGGGATTGTGTGCGCCTAGACTTTTTCTCTTTCTTGAAACATGACAAGAGTGGTTTGGCTACACCATGGATTCCTACTACTTCATTTTGTACCTTGGCCCATCCTAACAGCAGCAGAATCAACTAATCAGGGACTATAATCTCCCAAAGTATGATCATGTTAGAGAAACCAAAGACAAAATGGTAATATTGGTAGATTATTTTCAGAGACTGACTTAGTTTTTCATTTGAGATAAATTTGAAAACAAAAAAAAAGAATTCAGATTTAAGAATTGTGTTGATTTAAATGAGAAATGTCCCCTATAAACTTAAGTAGTTAAACAGTTGGTGGCCCTGTATGGGGATTTAGGAAGTGTGGCTTTGCTAGAGGAAGGTCATAATTTCACCACACTTCTAGCTCACTCTCTCTGCTTTGTGTCTGCTATTGAATATGTGCTCTCTACCTTCTAGCTCCTGCCATCATGCCTGCTGCTTGTTGTCATGCCTGCTGCTTGTTGTCATGCCTTCCCTACCATGATGCACTCATCCCTTTGGAACCATAAGCCAAAATAAACTCTTCTCTAAGTTGGCTTTGGTCATGGTGTTTTATCATAGCAACAGAAAAGTAGCTAATACATGAGTTAATAAACACAGGCAGGAACATTACTCAGCCAATTCTCAGGACTGTGATAATTCAAACTCCGTGTAGTTTGAGGTCATTTGTTATGCAGCACAATGAAACAGATGGACAGAACATGCAGATTTGAAGAGTTGGGTTAAACATTAAAAATACACAGTACTAACGTAGAAATTCTCAAAAGATTTAATTAAATAAATATAATTAGAAATGCAACCATGGGTGTATTAGTATAGCTACACACATTAAAACAAAAAAACAGGTATAGCGCTTTTCCTGAAGAGATACAAAAATAATAATATAATAATAATAATAAAGCTGATAAAAAGAGAAGAACATATGAGGGTCTCTAGGCATGTTGTCCACCACTGTTGTCCTAGCACTCAGGAATTGGAAGCAGAGGTCATGCTAAGTTCACGCATGCCTGGTCTACATAGCCAGAGCATGTATAAAGAAATGAAGAAGAGAAAGGAGAAAAGGAAGGGAGGTGCCAGATAAGAGGAACATTTTATCCCAAGTTGAGACCAGAGTGGAGGCCAGAATTATTTCTTTGACTTATTTTTCAACTGGTAAATAAAAGACAGAAAAGAATTATTCAGGAACAGACTAGAGAAGGCAGATGAGATGATACATGTGAAGCCCTAGAGAAAGAAGGTTTGCATGAGGAAATCCTGATGACTACACAAAGCATGTAACTAAGAATGGTATCTTGAGGCTAGAGATATTGCTCAGCAGTGAAGAGCACTAGCTGCTCTTACAGGGGACCAGGGTTTGATTCCCAGCACCCACATGGCAGTTAGCCACTGTCCTTAACTGCAGGGGATCCAACATCCTCTTCTGGCCCCTGTGGGCATTGCATGACATAGATACACTTACATACATGTAGGTAAATCATTCATTCGCATACAATAAAAATAAAATAAGACTTGTGAGTCAAGTTAAGGACTTTGACTTTTATCTTGGGAAAATAGGAGACTATCAAAGATTATATGGTAAGACCTAGATAATTTCCAAAGTGTTAATAGTGAATGATCATATTTGTCCATCAATAAAAGAGTTACATCAGTAAAGAAAAAACTGTGAAGGGAATCTGGTATCAAGAAATCAGCTGTGAAGACTGGTGCACAACATTAGACTAAATGTGAAGGGAGGTGGCTTGAGGCAGTGATCATAGAGACAAGGAAATGTACCAAGAGATCAGAATCCAAGCAGTCTGAGATGTACTCAGTTAGACAGAAGCTGTAGAGGAAGTCTCCAATAGAAGCCCATCACAGTTTTTTAAAGGGTACATGGTAGCAAGTCTAGCACACATCATATGTGTGATGTTATACAAAGTAATATCCTATGACTGGGAATGGGCTACTTGAAAGTTGGTTATATGTTCTTGTACTATGTGAGTCCCCAGTGAGCAATGTCTCACAGGACTCACATGAAGGTTAAAGTCAAGCAAGTTTTAGGAGAAGCTAATCAGGCCAGAATCAATAATTGAATTTAAGGTATTTGTGAATATCACATTGAAGTAGAGATGCCAGTCTAGGTTCAGTCATAGTGTTTGAGCTTTGTGTACACTTTGGGATCATGAGAATGTTTTGTAATTGTAGTCATGCGATAGATGAGACTTCACTCAAGAGGC